TGTGACCTAAATAAGTGTACAAAAACGCACTTATCATCCACCGTCAGTTGACCTCAAAAATGGAAAAAAGGAAAATTTTGACCAATTTAAAACTTGGCATATTCGTCCATTCCTTTTTCAAATCCATCTTGGTTGGTAAAATACAAAATTTACCAAAATCCACGAAAGTATCACTTGAAAAAAAATCGATCAAAGTGCCCCCAGTACACTCCCTAAAAATCACTTGGTTAGTAAACAAGGCGACAGCCATAGCGACCGAAATGTTGTGCCTGTACTGCTCCATCATGAAGGGACGTTGTCCCCACCAGCACCAGCGACCGTTACATAACTGAGTGCACGTCGTGTAGCCGTGTGAAACACAGCCCAACCACCTCTTCCATATCCGTGCACAGGAGTCCCCTCTCTGTCTATCCATCTCCGACCTCCCCACCCCAATCGTCTCTCACCCCGACGACCCCTTCGAGCCAACTGGGTTCATTATTGCCTTGTCCACCTGGTTGCTCGAGCCCTACCCGATATTTGCGGATTCTTCGTTCACCGGTCACTTAGCTGAACTTGAAAGGGTGCTTGAAACAACATCGCCGAGTAATCCGAATTCGAACTAGGTGACGGTGGATAATTTAAGGGCTTATTTGCAAATAATTGATGTAGCATCGATTTTGGGGCTTGATTATGATATTTCAGACCATGCTTTTTAGGGATTGTTCTTCGGTTACTTGTTTGAGGAATCGGAGCATAGAAGCATTAGCCATTGCGGCTCTTGTGCAGGCCATTGAGGAAGCTCAAGAGCGTAGAACTCTTCAGGTATTGTGAAAATAAGTTTGTTTCTTTAGCGTCATTGTAATTGGGTATTTCGTTCGAAACTTGTGTGAACTCTGAAATTTTCTGTGGGGTTTGTGGTGGGTGGGGTGTTTGAAGAAGATGGTGATTTTTTTTCTTTTATTTATTGTTTTTAAAGAGAAATTACTGTATGGACGGAAATGTCCCTCCTTAAAATGGTCAAAATATCCTTTTTTAATTTTCCAGGTGGACTAACGTTGATTTGGACGGTTTCTATCCAGATGGACCTTCGGTACGAATTTCTCAAAGGCTTGAGACCTGTGGTGGCACATAGTGAAGGTTGAGGTAAAGTCTGCAAAAAACTAAAAAGTTTGGGATCGCGACTGCAATTTTCCCTTAAATTTAATGGGCCAAAAGATGAAAAGAAGGATTAAAGTTGAATCATCCTTGTTGACTTTGAATCGTTAAGTTTTTCTCCTTCCTTCTTGTCTATAAAAACTAGGTGAGATTTTTTTGCATGTTTGAATTGTGTTTTAAGATTTTTCGACATCCTCTGATGTTAAAGACTTGCAGTGTATATAGGACAGGAGCTTAGGACATAAATAATAAAAACTATTTATAATGCTCTCGAAGTCTTACATGTCAAGTAAAATTCGAAATTTTGTGTTAGCAGAGCAACTCTGATTTAGCCTGAAAAATGTTGTATTTAAAAAATATTTGGGACATAAATACAAAAATAAACAAAAGTTAGAGACTTTTGTTCCAATTTAAATGCGATATGTTTAAGAAAAATGTTGTACCCATTACCCATATGTATTTAGCGCTTGTCTGGTTGACATTGTGACCAGATTTTAATAAGTTTTTTACACGTTTGCAATGGTCAGTGGGACCTAACTGCACTGTATTAATGCTAAACATTATAAGCCTTGACCTAATTTTGTCTTTTGTGTTACAATTGTCTATTATATCCTTATCTCTATA